GGTGCATGGTGTCGTAGAATCATCGCTTCAGGATGTATTTGGAGATACTTCCTCTCACCATCCAGTCCTTATACATTATTAGGTCCGTAGCCACATCGGTGATTCATTTGACATGCGTTCCGTTAACTTGCTGGAGCTGGTTGAATTTGTTGTATAGGAGGTCGTTGGTTATAGAGGATTGGAATCATCCTTTCAGGTAATCGAGAACTGTAGATCCTCTTAATCTTACATTCCCGCCGAAATCCTTATAGCATTGGTGGTATGCGTCGCTTGCCTTTCGTTCACAGAATGATCCAATGATAAGTCCGGTTGTAGGGCCTTCCACATCTTTTCCTTGTAAGAGTAGGAAGTGTGAGAGTTCTGTTACCCATCGTTCAAAGGCTTCAGGTTTGAGGTCCTTTCCTTCTCCTGTGAACTTTGCTGGTAGGTGGAGTTTAAACTTAGGGGGTTCCAATGCTGCGGGTACCTCCTCTTCTTCAGGCCTTGCCCGAGATTTCCCTCCTCCAGAGGGCCCTCCTCCTGTGCTAACCATATCTGATTCGCTACTGGATTCGGGGTCGATTGGAGGATCAAAGGAAGGCTTCTTTGCTGGAGTAGAAGGGAATTCTCCTGGAGGTTGTGTATCTTCCATGTTTGCAGGATCGCCCGGCTCTTTAGCAGAGCGCCGTGGTTGTTTCTTTCTTGTAAGGTCTTGCCGTGGAATTTGCTTCCAACTCCTGGTCATCAAAGACTCTATCTTGGCTTTAAGATGAAGCCGGATGTGCTGTGATTCTGCCGCTTCTCTCAGCTAGCATTCTGAGGTGGATATCGATAGGTTGATCAGGACTAAATCCGGGGACAGGTTCTTAACCACTTGGTGAGGTTAAAAAATGTAACGTGTTCGCAAGGTGCTAATCACGTTATCGGTAAAGATACGATAGTTGGCAGGTGGCCTGCTCTTTCAGAGAGGAGGCGAGAGCTGAGAACTAAAGAAGGCTTCGAGGGTGTACTGAGGAACAAAGAAGTAACCGTTCAACTAAGTATATTGAAATACTGTCTGTCGAAGTCTGCCTTTTCTATCGTAGAAACAGGCGGTCTTTAAATACACAAATCTGTTCATGTCTAGCATGAACGAAACTAATCAAAGGTATCAAGCGATACACTTTGGTAAAACTTCTTAAGTATCAAAGCGATACTTAAAACAAAACATAAAACAAAACCAAGTATCAAACGATACTTAAAACAAACCAAGTATCAAAGCGATACTTAAAACAAAACATAAAACAAAACCAAGTATCAAACGATACTTAAAACAAACCAAGTATCAAAGCGATACTTAAAACAAACCAAGTATCAAAGCGATACTTAAAACAAAACATAAAACAAAACCAAGTATCAAACGATACTTAAAACAAAACATAAAACAAAACCAATAACCAAGTACCCGTACCGGTTACAACAACTATAAAGATAAGTATAAAGGAAGTAAAAACTTCTAGCAAATGTAGAGGGACAAAGAACAACGTAGCCTAAAAATGGTACTTGAGGTTATAGACTTAATGCCTATTATAGGATAGAAATCAAGGGCTCTAATTGGTCGAGTGTAAACCCTTATGTTCTGAGGCAGAGTGAAAGGATGAGGAAATTACTTAGAATAAAGAATAAAGAGCCTATTCCCCTCGACTCTACTAACCTCCTTAAATAGTGCTCTTCTCATCAATCCTAATGCTGATGACTCATAAATATGAGTCCTGTGCAATCCTCCTAAACAAGCCAGATGACTCAAGTGAGTCACATGTGTATAACCCATGACTCATAATCAAGTCACATGTGAAATATAATAAATCATATCATAAAAAAGTCATATGACTCATGTGAGTTATATGCGTATAACCTATGACTTATAATTAAGTTATATACAAAATATAATAATTCATATGTGTAAGGCATAGGTGTAAGGCATACATGCAAGGCACACATCCAATGACTCATATTTGAGTCATGTGTGAAATATAACAATTCATAACGTAACAAGTCATATGACTTTGAATAGGTTATGTGCAAAACCTATCACATCCATGACAATAATATAACAAGTTATTTCATAATTACCACTGTAATACTGTTAGGTAGAGACTATCCATATAAACTCAGAATTGTCTAAGCCAATCAAAATTCATTTTCGTAGATAGAGATTTGCCTCAGAATGCTCAAATAGGTTACTTGTTTCATTTATGACTACTAAGAGTGAAGTGAGAGAAGGTAAAGTAAGATTGAATGATATAAACAATATTATATTGTTAAGGTTTCTTCTCCATTGCTTGATAATGTCTAAAAGCTTGGAAGGCACTTTAATATTTATATTCTGTGTCTGAGTATTCACATACTACATCTATCTCTTATACAAATTATATACTTCTTTTAATATAACTTACAATATAGTGTATTCTCCTGAAGTGCAAATACTTAGAGACCCTGAAAATAATGACACTACTCTTGATTATTACTATTTCGCTAATTGGGAACTGGACTGTTTCTATAGTAATTAACCTATCTTTAGAGTTATTAGACTTATAGCCTAGTTCTCAAGTTGAACTGTGTTGGCCCCAGTTACCTCTCCTATTAATAAAATAATCAGTTTTATCTGCAGGTCATATCTGCAAGAGTAGTCATAGATACAATCTTCTGAGGTTGCTGACTTCAAACTTCTATAACTCCTGATCCAACTGACAAATATTCTCTGGATAACTTCCTACTAATTTGCATGAAGTCATTCTACCAGATTAACAGATAATCCCTCTGTTGGCAACTCTTGGTTATCCTAAACAATAGGGCATTTATCGTTATTCACTATTTGGATTAATTCCCACAACCATGATCCACCCCTGAACCTAGTTGTAATACTCTGTAAACTCTATTGGCTACTTTAGTCGTGTTCTTTAAAGTTCTAGACTTTTCTAATTATCCTAGGGTAGATGAGCATATATTGGCTCTTCATAGAGATCCTCTAATATTTATTATTATGTTTTTGTGCGAAAATGTCTTATTACTTATAGCTTATATCTAAGGTATTCCATCTTTAAAACATGGCAACTCTCCTAGTATTTGACAAATTTACTCTGTTCTACTCCCGAGGTCTAGCCAAAGGTCCCCTTTTATATATCTTACGAACAGGATTCAGTTGGACAGATAGTAGAAATTTATACAGTGTTATTCATATACATTTAATTCTGTAGCACTATAGTCACAGAATGCAACAAAGATCAATATATATGATAATGTACAGACCCATAAGGGCGCCGGAGAAGAGTATTGGAGACCAGAGATTCCAATTCCAAATGGTATTACCTTACTTTGGCTGGTTCCTAAGTATTGGATCTTAGTATATAACGATCCCTCCTTGGATAATTAGTTCTTGGTGATGGAGAACGATACTTCTCTCTTTCTTCTGTTTCTTTCCTTAGTCTTATAATAGCACTAGGCCTTTGCCTATGTTACCGATAGTACAAGACTTTTGTCTTCTATCGAGAATACCTATCGTAAGCTTTCTCTAACTCTTCTTCATGAAGAACTTTCCTTAGCATAACGATAACATTGCAATAAAGATAAAGATCATAAAGGTATTTTATATTCATTAAAGTAATAAGTAGGAAAAGTACTTAGAAGTCAATCTAATTTTATTTAAACTCGTACCGCCAACACTGGCATACGACAAGCCCCCACTAGCACAGGGATACCGCTAACCAGTATACCACTAATCCTAAGCTAACTAAGACTACGGCCCCGCACCTGCCATCCCCAAGTCATGCCCACACGAGAACTAATTACAAGACTATCAAACAACCCAGTGCCCGCCCCGATCCAAGTCCGTAGCCCCTCTGATATGAAGCCAACTAGTACGAAGCATAGCTGAAGCTGAGTAAAAGACCGACCCAACCAGGTTCCTCGTCCAAAAATATAAAATCACTACCGCCCGGTCTGAACACTGTCCCACAGAACCTCCACCACAATAAAAAACCAACAAAACTAAAACAAATATAAACTACAGGCGACACAATGGCAGAGAGAAGATGACCAACATGTCCACCTCTCGCATCCGCATGCCCGGCCGTCAACGCTATGAACCCACTTTACCAAGTGCCTCCGAAGAGCATAATGGTGAGGAGGACCTGTACCTGCTGCCTGTCCCCTAAAAAATAAAATCCATAAACAAAAAAAAAATTCGTAGAGGTGGTGATAGACCTAAATGGTCAGTAGGGCCTATCTCCCACCCGTGGTACCTTGCCCCTGCCAGCCATGTCCGAAACCAAACTAAAGAAACCAAACAAACCCTACAAAACCAAGCACGCAAGACCCAAACAAGTCCAACCAGGTGGTCGCAACCCACTATCCGCACAGGTGGCCATCAGCCAACCGGTCCGTCAGGGAGCTTTACAGTACTCAGTAGCTTCATCCAACAGCCCAAGCCAGACTGGAAACACTTAACTAGACCTTGCCCAGCCTGACGCAGGCCCAACCGGTGCTTACAGGTGCCTCTCCCCCCCCAATCAGCCCCCCGCAAGCCCCACACACCAGACGCCACAGAGCCCATCCAGCCCCCCCAGCCCCTCAGACAGATCAACGATCCAATAGCCATCGGCCTCGGATCTCCCCTACCACGAGAAGGAATGGCTGGGGGAGAATGAGCTTGCTGGATTTTGTTAACTGACATTGGTTACCTTGTTGACCCACTCTGCTGAGCCTATCGTGTTTTAGAGAGTGGTTTCCGTTGAGATCTCCTAAGGTGGATCCAATGAGTTTTTTAGTTACTTTTTTGTACAAGTACCTGACCCTTGCACAATATTGTACTTGTATCATGCCGCAACCTCTCAAAAGATTCCTAACTCACAATAATATGGGATTAATCCTCAGTTGGCCGAATATAACCGACTTAGGGTCAGGGTTAACTCATTCCGAGGTCTGCCGTACAAGTATCATATGATATGCCCAGCAGCCAGACCCTCTCCCAACCAACGCTTCAAGCAATAGCACAAGTACCATAATTTAAGTATCATACCATCCCCCACTTTCAGTTCTGTACTTCCTATGATGGGCCAGCGCCGTATGAAACTACCATAGAACACCAGACATGACATTGTGGCCCAACAAACCTATTTTCGAGTCCGACTTCAAGTACTCTTCGCTCGATGAAGCTATAGCGACACGAACCCTCAACCTAAACGCTGGCGAATACTCGGCGACGTTGCCGAGGGATTGGTGCATCGGCTTCGGTTCACACCCCACCGAATCCAATTGTTCTACTCTCGCTAATGAGGGAAATTAGTTCCGCATGGAGGATACTTAACGTCGCTCCTGCTCCATGCAGGAACGAAGCATATGACCACCCATCCGAAGCTGTCAAAGCTAAACCAGCCGCATCCAATCCATAGCGCCGTGACCTTCCTCTCCCGATGCACTCCTGGGCCGGCGAAGCTCGTCGCAGCGGTTCTCAAGACCGGACGGCAATACACCTTTCTCCGGGTATCGCTCTATCAGAACATTCTGCTCCTAGAAGCAAACATCGTATTCACCCACATGACCGAGCACGAGAGGGGCCCCACACTAAGAACCTTGCCCCCTCCACCACCGCCACCCCACCCCGACGGGCCGTGGGATATAACCGGGGCCGATCCCCTCGGTGACGCCCGCCCCGTCTCGAAGAAGATACATTATAGAACCACCCCTGGCAGCCACTTTGGGAGCGACAGGAAGAACTCCCCGAGCGTGCGTGAGGAATGGGTTAGGATGGCTGATGGATCGAAATTTACCATCACCTCGTTGGGTTATCTCAGTGATATGTTCCTCCCGCTGCCGGAGAACTACCCTGAGATGGGCGAGGCACAATGGTACCCAACACTTGCCTTGTCGGTCGAGGTGAAGAGGGCGCCCAAAGGGGGTGGGTGGGGCGTGCTGTTCCGCAGGGTTGAGAGCAGGGTCATTGAGAATGGGAGGATGGATATGACGGTTGACTTGTTTGATGAGCAGGGCAGAATTGTCGCGATTAGCCATCATGCCGCGATCATGGTGAGTGCGGAGAGGAACCGGCCGAAGGTTGCGGCGAAGCTTTAGATTCGGTTTCTGTTTCTTTATTGTGCGGTAGATTAGACCCTAGTCTTCACGGGTAACACTCGATATCAAGTTGTTATTCCTGCTGTGGAGGTTCAAAAAAATATATTTCATCCTAATAAAAATACTGTACTGTACACTACAATGCTCGCTCCACAAGGACCGTACGGCTTAGTCGCTCCTCCGCAGTAAAACTGCATGAATGTGCA